GTCTGTCCGTCTGTGAGCCGTGCCTGGCACGTCACGGGGGCTCAGTAGCCGCCGCCGCCGCACACGCCTGACTCGAGCAGCAGGGCCGGCTGCAGGCGCCGTCTCCAGCCCGCCAGCTTCACGCCCGGCATCAGCGGAGCGACGCCGTGGAAGGCGAGCGTGCGCTCTCCCAGAGGGGCCCTCCGACCCGCGTGCCGGTGAGCACGGGTGAGGGTTGGCGATTGGACAGCACGCTAGACAGACCCGTGCCCTGGAGCTCACACTCCACACGTGTGCACACTCTGCAGATGTGCTGGACACAGCCCCCACGCATGCCACACGTGTGTACCCGCACGACCCACACGTGTGCACACACTCTGCAAAGGTGCTACACATTCCACGCACTGCACGCAGTCCCCACACATGCCACATGTGTGCAAACAACCCACACGTTATGCACACACTCTGCAGATGTGCTGTACAGTCCATGCACTGCACACAGCCCCCCACATGCCACACGTGTGTACCCACACATGTGCACACACTCTGCAAAGGTGCTGCACACTCCACGCACTACACACAGCCCCCACACATGCCACACATGTGTGCACACAGAACCCACACGTGTGCATACACTTTGCAAAGGTGCTGCACACTCCATGCACTGCACACAGCCCCCGCACATGCCACACGTGTGTACCCACACGTGTGCACACACTCTGCACACACACCCACACTCGGTGTGGGTCGACCTGCTGACCCGCACACTCCATGCAGTCCACACAGTCCACACACATGCCACACGTGCGTACACACATGACCTACGTGTGTGCACACAACAGACGAGGGCCGCAGTGGGCACTTCCAGAGGGGGCTCCGTGCCAGTCGGTCTTCCGTCGTGTTCCGTGCTTGCCGCGGTGAAAGGTGAAGGTCCCGGCCGCGCAGGGCTGGGCTCACACTCTCCTCCCGGCAGGGAGCACCCCATCGGCGACAGGACCTTCCAGAGCTGCGTCAGGCAGCAGTCGGAGACCTCCACGCATTCCATCTGACGTGCACGCCGCGAGGGGAGCAGGCACGAGGGCGGGCCGTGGCGCCTCCTCCCTGGGACCAGCGCAGCCACCGCACTGCCGAGCCACGCCGCCGGGCCACGCCGCCGGGCCACGCCGCCGCCCGGAGAAGCTGCCATCCCTCCCGCCCGCCCGCCGTCCTGGAGTGCGGCCGCCGGCTTTCGACCTGCTGACCCGCGGCCGGCCAGACATCGGGCCGTGGACGTCGACAGCCACGGGGGAGCCCACACCGCGCCTCTGCCACAGAGCACGTGCTTCCGCCCGCGTGCACCGCGCCCGCGTGTGCAGCTCAGCATGGATCTCGCCGCGCCCCGCCCCGGGCACCGACTGCCCCGTGGGCCCTGGATGTGGCTTTGTTCCCGGCCGAAGGGGTCGCTTGCGCTGGACAGCGCAGAGCTTCGGGGAAATCCGCCCGGGGTGCTGAGGGCCGGTGGTCCGCCGCAGAGGGGCCGCAGGGAGGG